AACTTAATACAATCACATCCTTAAAAAAATTCATGAAACACCAACAAAATGAAGTTTGCTTTTCACATGGAATATTAAGGGCGTGCTTGTTTATGAAATATTTCATTCAAAATGAATTATTTTAGTTAACTAGAGTTAATTTTGAAAAAGGTAGTATGGTTAATTGTTAGTGGGATTTTAATAATATATTAAAATAATATTTAAAATAAGAGGATTATTAATGATTTGATGTAAATGTAGGATATAAATTATTGGAAATGATAGGTAGCTAAAATCATGTGAGTGGATGAATAGTGAATTAAAGTTGATGTGATATGTAAGAATGATTGGCTTATAATATTTAATTATATAAATAATATAAATGATAGTGGGGTTGAATTAAAGTTGAGTTAAATTTTGAGTGTGAAATGAATTATTTCATAAACAAGCATGCCCTAAGGATGTAATTTGATATAAATCCAAAAAAAAATTCAATTATAATTCAAATTTAACTCAACTTTAACTAAACTCTATTATGCTCAATATTATTCATATAATTAAACAATACTAATCAATCATCCTTATACATCACATCAATTTTATTTCACTATTCATTTACTCATACAATTTTTAATTAACTATCACTTCACATCATCTCTCTCATACATTTATATCAAATCAATTTTAATTATTTTATTTTAAATATCATTTTAATATTAACTCAAAATCCATCAACAACTGACAATACCGCCTTTTTCCAAAATCAACTATGATTAACAAAAAAGATCAATGAACACCCAATCAAATCCTTATCTAATCACACCCTAAAAATCTGGCGTGAACAAAACTATACTTTTACACGGAAGGTTGATATTACCATCCATACTGAATTTTTACTCGACACACTCTCGTGTCGACATTAGGTTATAAGTCCAGTTCGGTAAAATAAAATTTACTGATCCATACTCACCCTTCCAATAAAATAGTATACTTTTTAGTTTTATGAGTGTCATAATATATTACTTTTACTTCAAATGGAATTGAATTGTTAAACAACTAAACTACATGAATGAATGGAATCTATATATATATATATAGAAGTACGCATAAATGAGAATGAATTCCAAATATATATATATATATAGAAGTGCGTGAGAATGAATCCCAACGAAAGAAATAAGAATAAATTTATACCACTAGATCTATCATATCAATAATCATGATTAAGTCAAATTTTACTAAATAATGGTCAACATGCAGTCAAATATATGTATTTGACCATTAATTAAGTATATATGTGTCAGTAGACTCACTACCCATGGGACCCACATATTACACTCACCTAACCTCACGTCACTCACCACACCCCACCTACCCATCTCTCACACACTTCACACACCTACCCGTCTCTCTCACACACTTCACACACACACATATACACACACTTAATTGGTACTCACAGACTCGATTTACACACACTGACGCACAATATCTCGCCGCCGGACACCACCAACCGCCACAATTCGCCGCCGGCCACCGCGATTCCGATTACCGTAGCCTTAGACGGCTGCCGACAACCAATTCCTCCGCTCTAAGGTAGCTTTGCCGCACGCAGCTGCAAGTCCGACGAGATGCCACTGGCTCAACCAGCCAAATCCCGCCGCTTGCCGCCGGCCGTAGCCTGAGAAGGCCGCCGTTTAGCATATCTGCCGCACACCGCTGCAATTCCGACGAGATGCCACCGCCTCAACCCCGACAACCACCACTCTGCCACCATCGAACGAGGCATCCGCCAGTCACTCACCTTGCTCAGCGGCTGCCCGTCGCCGGTTCCAGACACGCTGCTCAATTCAGCGTCGGCCGACGGTAAGTGTCTGGTTTCGAGATTCTCTTACCGGCGGGATGATGTAGCCAACCTTACTTATGAGTATCGCCGGCGGCAATATGGTGAAGGTGTGGTGTTGAAGCTGTGGGTATGTGGCGGAGTGGCGGGGTGGCGCGGGTTCATATTAGGTTTAGGGGGCATGTTAATGAAAATTAGATAATTGTAGGGACCATTACGTGATTTTAAGAACTGTAATTATATTTTGATTAATTCATGTGTTAAATATAATTTATTAAAAAACAAAAGATAATAATGTGGAATAAAAATAAATAAACTATACAACATGTCCATGGAACAAATATGAATGTGAAAAACTATATTCAACAAAATAATATTTTTTTATGGTTCGATCCATTTGTTTTTATTTATTTTAAATAAAGTTGATATCAATATTGTTTAATCTGATAGTCATTAATGTGCAGTTCGTCTAACACTATTGAATACCTATTTAATCGCTATTGTGCAGTCTGAACAGATAAAAAATTTGTCTCAAATTGAAATTGAACCACTTATTGGGCTTATCGGTCGATTAATCAAATTACTCTAAATATTCAAAATAATTTATTTTTTACTTTATAAGAAACTATGTAGTATTTTAATAATTTTTAATTATATTTTTATATTATTTTTGTAAAAAAGAATAATATGTTAAAAAACAGAATAGATAATGTGCATGCCTATAAATACTAATGTGCATCTGGTATATCATTAGTGTGCAGTCAGATGAGCGAGTAAACTTTTACGTGCATTGTAATTTTAGAAATTTTTAATAATGTGTATTTTAATTTTATACGGTTGATTATTCGAATTAACCTAATAATTCAAAATATTTTTTTTTTATATAAATAACCGATTTTTTATATTAAAATTACATTCAGTATTTTAATAAGTCAATTTTGTTATATTATTATGGATTGAAAAACATAATTTACAAAATACCGAAATCCATAATGTGCACTCTCATATACACATTTGTGTATTTAGTCTAACGTTATTGTGCATTCTATTAAGCGACTATTTTTTTTTATCATTTTTTAATGTGCATTCCAACGTTAAAAAACTTTAATAATATATATATATATATATTAATTAACATTATTGTTTATTGAAAATAATTAATATGTATTATATAATATAATTATTTTTATATATTTTAGTGCGCCAGAATATACACTAATGTGATCTCTAACATGTATTATTGTGCACTCTATCTAACCGTTATGTTCATTGTATATTTTAAGTTTCATGTTCATACTAAATATTAAATGATGTGCATTTTATTTATCAAAATATTGTACATTTATCAAATTCTGAAAAAATTGTAAATTCATCCAAGGCTTAAATTGTAATTTATTAAAATTTTAAAAATTACAATTAAGTCAATAACACTTATCTAATTTTCAAAACTAAGCCATCACAACAAATTATTCTCATCCCCATTCCCCATCATCATTAACATCATTAATCTTCAATTCAAACTCAAATCCCCAAATTATGCTTGCCCTAACATCTATTTGACCACTGGTCAGTCCACACAAATAGACCACTGGACTGCCTCCGGCCTCCACCTCAACGTCCGGCAGGGTCTCCAGGGCCTCTCTTGGGGCTGACGGCGCCCCATACCTCTTTGAGACATTCTTCGACAGTTCGCTGCAGCAGGCGGAGTGGGGCAGCGGCGGAATCTTCGCGGCGGGTGGAGGGGATATATGCTGCAGCCTGCAGCAAGCGGAGTGATGACAACAGCGGGATCTTCGCGGCAGAGAGGCGGGAGAGATATGTTGCAGCAGGCGCGGTGACGACAACGGATTTCATGGCGGCAGAGTGAATGATGTCGAGCAGCAGATTTCATGGTGGTGGTAGCAGTTCACTTTCTGTCGATCTGCGCCGTAGCCGACGATGGCGGATTTGCAGCTTGTCCGAGGGTGGTGGAGGTCACCGGCGGGAGAGTGGAGGCGATGACAGGCGGTGGGGACGACCGGCGGCCGTGTGTGTGTGTTACCATTTCAGTGCGTGTGTGTATGTGAGATAGAGAGATTTCAGTGCGTGTGTGTATGAGAGAGAGAGAGAGAGAGGAGTGGGAATGCCGGATGACAGGCTGTAAGATGCGTATTATTGATGGTGATGTGGGTCCCACTGAGGTGGATGGTTGGTATATTACCACATTACCTTTAATGAATGTAAAAATTAGCAATTTTTGAGCCATTTGATCATATGATCTAATAGCTAAAATTTATTCTTATTTCTTTTTATTTCTTTCACTTAGCATCATTCTCACCGGAGTGAGACCCTAGAATGATGCTCAGTGAAAGAAATAAGAATAAATTTTAGCCATTAAATCATATGATTAAATAACTATTTACTAAAAATAGTAGTAAATTTTTTTTGTAGCATTTAATGCATATTTTTTTTTGCAAACTTTTTAAATATATGCATTAATTGCTTCTATATACAAGTTTTGAAATATGATCAAAAGTATTGTTTACTTAAATAATTTTATTAATATATACAATAACTTCATTGATATCCATTATAATAAATTACAAGATTGATTTTCCGTGATTCATGTTGATAATATTTTTTCACAAATATTCACTTTTTAATTTTTATCTAAAAATGCTTATAAAAAATCGTAACAGGTTAGGTAGAATTTTTTATTCTAATTAATCAGGCGAAATCAAGTTGATGAATTAATCTTTGTCAATATAATTGTTTCTTAAGCTTTATTTCATTATATTTAAAAATAAATTATTCTTCAAACTAGTATAAATTACCATTTAAGAGATCAAGACCATATACATTAAATAGTTTTACTAATAGTCAAAAATTAAAATTGAAATATATTGATTGTTCTTTAGAATTTATTTGTATATTATTGGTAACCATGATTATTTTTTTTTTTATTGTTTTTTATTTTGATTTCTTTCTATAATGAAATTCTTCTAAAATATATTTGCATTGCATAGTATGCTAAATAAACTATAAATCCTTATAATGAAAATTAGAAAAATTTTGATTATAGAAGAGATTGAGTTTTTGGCATTTGCTAAATCAAAATTATTTAATTAGTATACAAAATTAAATTCTAAAAAAACATGTGTTATATTTTGTAAAATATTTATACACTATTTAATTTTAAATTTATTTACATATTTTAAATTGATTACATAAATAAACAATACTAATGTGCAGTAAATATTTTTCATTACATAAAATAAAAAGAAAAAGAAGACGTCGAATATTATATGCTGAACAAGAATAAGTAAAATCAGTGTTTTAAATATTGTACCGGTAATCATACCGGGCGGGACAACGGTAAGCGGTTCAACCGGTTTTACCGTCTATTTTACCGGTTTCAATAAATATTATATTAATTTGTTATTATAATATAAATAACATAATAAATAAAATTTAATTAATACTAAAATTAATTAATATCTAATAAATAATATAAACATATTAAAATTAAGTGTAGAATTTTTATTTTATATAAATAAATTAATAAAAATATATTAAAAATATTTTTTTTTAAAAAATGGCATAAACCGGTATTTTGGCCGGTATTTGCCGGTAAAACCGGTATTTTCCGGTATGAAACCGGTATTTTGGCCAAAATGGTATTTAGAGTGTAACCTTACCGGTCGGACCACCGGTATCCGGTATTACCGGTAATACCAGCCGGTACGGTACGATATTTAAAACATGGAGTAAAAATGTTATTTTCTCTCATATCACGAAGTAAATATATATACTAAAATCAAATTTATATTAGTATAAATGTGTCAGTGGGATAAAATATTAATTATTTTACAAGCTAGCTCTAACATGATCATTTAATGTTTTGGCTAAAAAAACAACAATGATTAAAAGTAAAAAATAAATTATAACCCTATCGTTTTTTAGATTTAACGCTCATTAAAAGATGTAGAAAATAGATGATACTCTGTTGCTTTTTAGATTTAAACGGACAGAGTTTCACAACTCATTTAATATCTCTGCCATGTGCATCGCAAGGGTAGGTACTAGTAATAGCTATTTATAATATTTTTTCTTTTATAATTATATCCTCTACATATGATTGCCGAATGTGCTGAGCCTAAGTGGCAGACTTGCACATTTCCAAATTCTATGTGGCAGAAACTATGTTTCGTAGCTAGGTTTCGATATAAATTAGTATTTTTTTATATAACATAATAATTAGCCTTGGATTACATTAAATATCTATATTATTCACATTAAATATATGATTAATCTATTCATTATTTTCTTATACAATTAGTCACCATAAACTCTTTTACGTTTTTTTTCCTACACTACCATACATTATATTTTATTTTCTTATTTATACACCAATCTATCATTATATAAAAAGAATAACCTTTTTACAAATTTAGAAACTTTTTCCCGCCAAAATCATTAAATATATTCTATATATAGTAATTATTGGACAAATCTGAATAGGCAGAAAAATCTGCTCATTAATTGTGTAAAGATTTGTTTCTCTTTTTCCTGTTTCTTAGTTTATCGTTTTAACAATAAATATTTGTTTTTCTTTTTCCTATTTTTAGTATAAATCTACACGAGCTTATCTCTTCTGTTACAAAATCTCATTGCGTTAGATGTTTAAAAAATCTCATCTCTTATCTATACAGATTTGAAAAAATAAAATAAAATATAAATCAATTCATAATTACTACTAGAAATCCATTATCTTTAAAAAGAAAAAATAAAATAAAATAGAAACTAATTCATAATTACTACTAGAAATCCATTATCTACTTTAAGAAGCTAATTTTCATCGGTCTAATTATTAATATTTTTACAAATATTCTAAACTAACCATACAAAAAAATATAATAATAATTTTGAAATGGTGTGTAATCAAATTTTTTTATATTCTCTTATACAAAATCATTTTACATTGTTTGACCCCGAATCTTTAATTTATAATTATTAAGTATTGTTTATCCTCCTCTTTTATTTATAATTATTTTTTTTCTTCCTCTTTTTAAATACGATCAATAGTAGTTTTCACTTCCGCCATTGACTCAAACTCGAGGTCTATTTATAATATTGTTAATTTAATATTGTTCCCGTGCATCGCAAGGGGTACACACTAGTTATTATAAATGTGTCTTCTTCTTTTTTCTTTCTTTCTTTTTTTTTTTTTAATCTTATAACTTCTTTGTTTGTATTTTGTTTTTTATATATGATATATCAAATTTAGTATCTTTGGACATTCATATTACATATATAAAATACAAAACAATGATATATATCCTTATAAATAAATTACAAATTGATTTATCAAACTAAATTAAAAAAAAACAAAAAAATATAAATGATCTTATGAAGCAATAGAAATTGATTTATATTAACATATCATAAAATATTTATTTAATTGAAAAGAATATATATAAACTAGATATGAACATAAAATAAATATTAAAAAACATATTTTAAAATTTACGTCTCAACTTAAATAAAAAATACAAAGTGATTGAATATTATAATGATACTAAAAATTTAAAAAAAAATTAATTATAATTAAAAAAAATAAAAATAATTATTATATTTCACAAAGTTAAAAAATAGTACACCATACAAATTATATTTTAAATCATTGAATATTTTCAAGTTGAATATTTGAAAATATAATAGATGAGAGAAGAAAATCGTGTATATAAAATATTAATCAAACTAGAAATATTTTAAATTACATGAAAATAAAATTATTGAGTTTTAGATAATACAACTCAATATGTGTGTGTGTGTGTGATATTAAAAAAATATCATTTTAACAAATTGATTCTAAAATATAGGTATTGTTTTAAATAATTAACCTTGGTAATTTTTTATTATAAGTTTTATACTTAATTTTTGTCATTATATTATAATAATATAAATTTGGTTATTTATTTCTTTTGATACAAATATATTATTTTTATTTTAATGCACCCCTGTTATTCATGGGTGTTATATTAACTGTGGAATAAATTAATTTATTCTAAATTTTGAAAAAAATCAATTGTCTTAAATAAAATAAGTAATATTTCATACAAAAAAATTATAGAATTTTAAAATAATATTATAATTTTTTATTTTATTATTATTAATTTATGATTTTATTTCACAATAAAAATTTTATTTTTTTATTATTTATTGTAAAATTAATTTTTCTTCAAACACCCGTGTAATTCACGAACATTGTACTAGTTGTACATTGGTACAAAATCTACAACACAAATTCTTTACATACATTATTTTAACTATAAATCAAAAGAAAAAAGGGAACGTATTTTTGGGTTCGAAAGAGCAATATTTCGTGGGCTGCCCAATCAAAACTTGTGGGCCAAAAGTAGTATTGTTTTCTTCTAAGTCAAAATCTTCCAGATCACATTTACGCAGAAAAAATCTTTCGCGACAAATGTCACATCTCACAAGTAATAGTATTAGATATTTTTCTATTTTTCTGTTCAACTTTTCAGTTGAAAAGTATGTCTAATATTATTTTGCTGACTAAAATATTTATTTGTCCAGAATATTGTGCTGGAAGTGTTTATTCTCAACTATCTAATATTGTTCAATACATCGCGGCTGGTTAATACATAAAGAAGCATTTTTAGTCGCCTAGCATAAATTGTAGAAGAAATCCCAAATTTTGATTCTTTTGCAATGTAATTTCTCAACTTTTCAAAACTTTTCAATTTTGGCAATAAAATGGGCGAGTTTCGAATTTCGCAAATTGGAGGTTGGAGCATGCGGCAACAAACAGAGCTCTAGATGCTTGCGTGTCCATAGAGGTGAGCAAAATCGAGTCGAATTCAA